CCAGAGTGGTGATGTATGTTGAAACTGCAAGTCCATAGTCCATGAGCAACTGAGTCCCTTTGTCCATAAGCTTTTCCTATCAGCAAGCTGGGGTCTTTACTCTTTGCACTTGCGTTGTCTGGAAGCAGTTTAAGGCAGGAGCACTGTCCCACAGGTCCCCACCAAACTGCTCCAAAGCCGTTCACCCCAGGCCTGTATCTACCTGGAGACCCAAGCTTGCTAACCTAAAGCCTCAGTGTCTCTAGCTGATCCCAGCCAGCTCCCAACACTCAGCCATCCCAAGGCCTGTACTGTCCTAAACTGTGGCTCTAAGATCCACTGAAATGCTGAGCTGTAGGACTGAGCTGCAAACCCCAGTGTCTGTGACTCTGTGATGATAGACAGTAGTTTGGGGGAAGTAGGTGATACAGCAAACATCAAAAACACCCAAAATAGCCTGTTTTGGGTCATTTCTGCCCCTCAGCCTTTATCAATATTAAGTCTAGAGTTTCACTGCTATTTTGATCCAAATAATTCAGGCTGAAGACTTACAAAGAAAACAAAAACAAAGCCACTTTTAAGATGAAAGGGTCTAAATTTGCCAGATATTTTTTTAAAAAACTAGGAGAGTTCAAGAGTGAATTTCCATTTAGCAAATAACTAAAACTACATGAAAATCTCAAGAACTTATTTAGCTTATGAGAACTGATTTAAAGATGATACTAAAAATTACATTGTTGCCACTCTCAAAAAGTGAATACAGACTAGCTAATAGTTTAAAAAGCTGAGTTCAAAAGTTCCCCAACGTTTATGGTACTTTAGTGACTCAGTAATTTTTTTCACAGTGTACCTAGCCCAAATACCTAAGAGTTTCAATTATTCAGTTGTTATTAGGTCCAAACACCCTGACAGTAATAATTCTTGTAATGTCCAACAGATGTTGATGTGTTTCCCTTGAAAATTTAAAAGATCCTGCGTGCCCTTATGAGTAGGGTTGCCTGGTTCCATTTGAATTTCAGAGGAACTATATATATATATATATATAACTATATAACTATATATATATATAAAACTATATAACTATATAACTATATATATATATCTGTAAGTATTTCCCAAATGTTGCATAGACATACACTTAAAATTATTCATTGTTTATCTGAAGTTCAAATTTTACTAGATGTGCCATATTTCCATTTGCTAAATCTGACTGCTGTGCCTGCCAGTGAATTCACTATGGCTTTCCAGGATGCTTTGGCACAAAGCTTGGAAGCCACAGTCCTACAGCTCTAGGCAAGTTTTTAATGTGAAATTCTACTTATCTAAAGTTAAAAAATCAAGGGCCGGCCGAGTGGCGTATTGCTTAAGAGCTGGCTTGGGACACCAGAAGGCCCCGGTTCTGATCCCACATATGAGGGCTGGTGACACTGCCCTCTACAGCTAGGATGCTGAACGGCAGCTCGACCTGGAGCTGGGCTGCCGTGCTGCAGTGGGTTGCCGAGGGCTGCCATGTGTGGCCGGCAGCCAGTGTGAGCAGCCATCTGGAGGCCGGCGACTGATCTGCCTCACCTGGGAGGAGCGCAGTGATGGTGCCAACTTGGGCCAGTGAGGCGACGTCCTCCACAACTAGACTGAAGAAAAAAGGACAGCAACTTGTCTGTTCCCCTTCCCCCAACTCCCCAATAAAAATCTTTAAAAAAATAATAATAATAATAAAGTTAAAAAATCATATACATGAATGTTTCAAAAAATTGTCTTATAATTATATTTACTAAAATATTCTATGACTGATTTTGTAAGTAGAGATATTTAGATTATGAATAGTGGGGCTTATGTTGACTAATGAAGGTCTGGCCTGTACATGTTGAGTGCTGAGCTGTACAAGGTAGTTCCCCAATTCTCCTGCAGTCGCTTGAACAAAACTTTAGTGCCAGGCCAAAGCTTCTGGTACCTTCCACAGGACTTGATTTAACCGCTGTGGCAAATGACGTTACCTTCTATTTATTTTTTTAATTTGCCAGTCCAATTTTGTTGCCACTTCTTCATAATTATAGTCACTCGTTAGGATGGGAACTCCTGCGGTTTAACAGAAATAGTAATTCATTATAAAGAAAAAATCTGGAGGCCTTCATCACTGTATTGACCTAACTGTTAAATTAGTGTTTTTCTTTTAGGGAGCTCAGTGGATATACTGTATACTTTTGCACATTGCTCTGGACTGGACTTGATCTTTGGTCTAAATGCCTTACTCCGAACAGCAGATTTGCGGTGGAACAGTTCCAATGCTCAGTTGCTCCTGGACTACTGTTCTTCTATGAGTTATAATATTTCTTGGGAACTAGGCAATGGTAAGTATCCCTGGGAACATTTCATGAATAAGGACATTTCCCTTTACCATTATTTGTTGCTATTTATGACATTCTTTTTCATATCAGTAAATATACTTCTGGTTTGGCACATTTGTCCAGAGTTCAGCAATGCTACTTTTGGAATTGCTTATGGCAGAGAAGTCCTTTGTATATTTCAGAACCTATTTCTAATCCCACTTGATGTTATGTTTGAGCTGAGGAATAGTTGGAAGCAGCAACTTCCACAGCTCCCAGGTTCCCTTGGGATTTCCAGGTCACTTAGGCCTATTATGCTCTGCAGTCTGGACTCAGCAAAACTATAAAGTATGTAGTTTGCTTTCACCCTGCTATTCCTTTCTTTGTTTCTCAACTTGTCAGTTAATCTCAGCAACCCCATCCCAAGCCTCACGATATGCTCAAGCTAGATGTTCCCAGTAGAGAATCCTGCCTGGGTCAAGATCCTGATCGCCTCCTCCTTCACCCTTATAAGGATCTTATAAATTCTAACTGAAGTGCTAATGATTAGCCACATTCATTCAACCATATTTACAATGCTTTTCCCACCCATCAGCCAATGGAATGAAAGATAAAATGGGAAATGAGATGTGGTAATATGAGCACATACTATTATATATTCCAGGCTCTGTTCTGAGCATTTAATAAGGATCAACTTATTTTATCTTTATAGCGACCTTGAGGTGCATACAATTGTGACCTTCATTTCACAGATGACAAAAGCAGCACAAATAGTTAGCTAAATACCTGTGTGATGCTGGGCAACTCTTAGTTAGAGGCCTCGTAGAGGAGGTAGGATTTGAACCCAGGCATTTCAAATCCTAAATTGCTTGGATCCAGAGCAAGTTTGCTGCTCTCTTGAGACTTCCATTCTAGAGGTAGGGAGCCAGACCGGCAAGAAAATAAGCAAAGAAAGAATACATGTGTGTAGTGGTATGTGTTATGGTAAAGTCTAGCAGCAGATTTGGGGATCAGGTTGCTGAGGATAACCGGCAAGCTGAAGCACAGAAAACAGAATAGTAGCGTCGAGGCAACCGTGTCTTCACTAGATGCTGAACAATTTTATGGCAGCAGCTATATGAATTCTGAACCCATCCTTACCCATCTCTATACATCCCTCCAACCCTGCTTTTCTACCCTACTCATCCCTAACTTCTGCTTTTCAGAGTAAGATGAAATAGCAATGTCATTATGTTTCCCTCTTTTTGGGCCCCGTTTTGTAAAGAGACGGTCTGGTTTCCAGGATGAAGTTGTATTTGGGAAGTAAATTGGACACTTGCTGTGCCTTTCTCCCATCTCTTCAGCTTTGCTACTTCCAGGCTTACTTGCAGATATAATTTGTGAGTAAATATTCTCAGGGAAACTTTTAATTGCATTGTAGAAATTGGTTTTTAAATGTCTTCCCCAACCACAATTTTTTTAAGCAAATTAGGTTATTAAATACTGGATGCAGGCTATTTCCCAAATATCCTTTGGTTTCATATTTCCATTATTAATTTCAAATTCTTTTAATACCCCCTCATACTTCAGATTTTACAATTCAAATTTTTGTTTTTCTGGGATATATTCTTTATAACTAGATGGTTTTCTTTCCTTGACTTTGGATTCTAACTTTTTGTAATTTCAAAATGTTCTGTTGCTTTTATATGTGGCTACAATGTTTGCTTTTCCATAAGAAATTTCTAGGTAGGTGATTATTTTGAGAATTGCTCTTTCAGAACCTAACAGCTTCCATAAGAAAGCTGGTATTTTCATCGATGGATTGCAGTTAGGAGAAGATTTTATTGAGTTGCATGAGCTTCTAGGAAATTCCACTTTCAAAAATGCAAAACTTTATGGTCCTGATGTTGGCCAGCCCCGAGGAAAGACTGTTAAGATGCTAAGGAGGTAAGAGCTCGAAGAAGCAGAACCATCTTTCTTAAAAATAATATTTCTCTCTGGTGGAGAACCCTCAATAGCCCATCTGTTGTTAAACATTTGCTTCGTGACTAGATGGTTTACCAGAAGAGGAGACATGACTGGCTCAGAATACCAAGGATTTGGGGCAAATGGCACCTATGATAAAATTTGTATCCAAAATTAGGAAGTTTGTGTTCGCCTGATCCTAAAGTAGTAACCAGCCCACTTCTAGGGAATAAAACTCTTGTGCATATATTGTGCGTATATACTGTATATGAAAATTAAGTGATAATATAATAGATTTTTTTTCTAGTTTCCTGAAAGCTGGAGGAGGAGTGATTGATTCAGTTACATGGCATCAGTAAGTATGTCTCCTGCTCTTCATACTAAGAAAGTAATGCTAGCTTCACTTATTACCTAGTATTGAAAAAATTATTTCCATTTAACTGCTAATTGACTTTATCATTCAAGTAAGAAATAGTGTCTCAAGCAGGACTTTAATAGAATTTTAATATTAATAAAACAAAAATTTAAACTTAACTAATATGATGGTTCTACAAGATCAAGATCACTATTATTTAACTCACGGAACAGATAAGTAGCTAAAGCCAATATACTCACCAAGGGACAGGTAACCCAAAAGTACCCGTACTTGTGAGTGTCTTCTCAAGACAGAGTAACTGGCCCCCTTCCATTTTGGTCTCTCCTTCGCAGAACGTCTGACTTCTTTTTTATAACAGAGAGTGGGAAGAGGTAGGAAGGAGAGCACATTTGACCAATTAACTTAAAAGCAGAAAATAAAGGTTGCTATTTTTTCTGACTATTCTCTGAATAATTTAGCTACTACTTGAATGGACGAATCGCCACCAAAGAAGATTTTCTAAACCCTGATGTGTTGGACACTTTTATTTCACCCGTACAAAAAATTTTCCAGGTAATAGTCTTTTTTTCTTTTTAATAGAAAACCAGAATCCTTATTCTCTAGTTTAGCTGTTCTAATTTGTGTGTGTGTGTGTGTGTGTGTGTATGTGTATTTACGTGCTTTTCTAATTTTAGAGAACAGGTATTAGGTCTTACTCACCTTCAGCCCCATTAGCCTCAAGTCTTACCCATGTATGTTGATTAGAAATTTAAAATACTTCCAATAGCCTTTTGGTAAAATTGATTTTCCTAGGCCATAAGAATGGGATTATTTATATTCCTTTCACACCTAGTATTTCAATAAAAATAAATTGTCCAAGACCTAAATGACTGTGAACTATTTTGTAACTATATTGGACAGATGGGCCAGAGAAGACAAGGTTTTGAATGTCCTTAATCTTCAACACCATAATTTATCAAATGGTTTGCAATTACCATGGAGACTTTCTTGTTCCATAGGTTGTTAAGAAGACCAGACCCCACAAGAAGGTTTGGCTGGGAGAAACAAGCTCTGCTTATGGGGGCGGAGCACCCTTGCTGTCCAACACCTTTGCAGCTGGTTTTATGTGAGTTGAAGTAGCACTCGCCTCAGGGATCAGGTTGCAGATGCTCCTATTCCATTTGGTTGAAATAGTACATTGGTCAAAAATCTGATCAGAGATGGTTTCTGTGGCTGAGCCCCAAAATTCATGCCCAATTTTGCAAGAAAATGGCTTACTAAAGCTTGTTGGACACCTTTAACATGTGTTTCAAATTAATCATTGTACGAATGAATTGTTTTAGAAGTGTCGTTACTTAATTATGGTCCATGAACATGTCAAGGATTCCTCCTCTAAAGAAGTACATTGTAAAAATAATAATAATACATTGTAAAGGAGTGCATCTAGAGCCTTGCCTCTGAGAAGGATGCATAGTACATATAGCTACAGAGTATTTATAGATTCCCAAGAAGTTTAGAGCCTGAAGATGGGGTCACACCAGAGTGGCTGCCAATGAATTTTAAAATTTACTAAATCACCTTCTAATCCAACCACGACAGACTTGATTGCTTTAATCAACTGGTTAACATACATTCTATAACTCCATGAACACTCTTAATCTATAATTCTATATCCTCACATTGAGACTTATTCTCTTTCGTCTTCTACCCTCATTCTTATGAGCCCAGACTAAAGCACAAAAATGCCTGTGCTCATAGGGGTAGGGGCATGAGGAGTAGAGAAAAGAATGGAAATGTTTGTTTTTCTATTAGCTAAAGATGGGGAGCAGGAGGTGTCCATAAAAAAGTTAGGTGTAATTCTACTTACTTCACATTTTACTACTGCTGACTACAAGCAACCTTGTAGCCTTTAGACCTCACATGGGGATGGGGGTGGGGAAGGGTATCCGGAAGGGCACGGAATAATTGTTTAATTGTAGATGCTGTCTTACCCTAAAGGGGATTTCTATGGCATATTAATAATCTTCCAGGATTTGTTACCATGCAGAAGTGTGAAAACACGTAAAGGGAAGGATAGTTCAATTCATTTGAATGACTTGTTTACAATTAATACCATTTTTTTTCCTGGTTTCCTGTGAAGTTCTCCCACATAGAAAAAAAAAATCAGAATAGTATATAGTTAGAATTGAGTTATTTAGTTATCCAAACCTGAAGAAAGCTGGGTCTCACTCTTCCAGGTGGCTGGACAAATTGGGCCTTTCGGCCAGAATGGGCATCGAAGTGGTGATGAGGCAAGTGTTCTTTGGAGCAGGAGACTACCACTTAGTGGATGAGAACTTTGAACCTTTACCTGTAAGTGATCATTATTTTCCTATTTCTGTGAGTAGATTAGGCTATACTGAGGGCCCCTTGTATTCACCTCCTATGAATTGTCAATCCTCTCAATACATTCAATGCTCTCAATAAGTAGCCAAACTAGAGAAGGATGAATTGGAAGAAAACTTAGAGATCATCTGTTCTAACATTTTTTGTGTCTCGAGAAGAAATTGAGACCCAGGAATAATGTTCTTAATGTGGGCCATTTGGGGCATGATGTGGGATTTTTTTTAAAAAGGTCATATGCAATTTTATTTTATTTTATTTTATTTTATTTTATTTTTTAAAGATTTTATTGGGAAATTGCGGGAGGGGAACAGCGTTGGGAAATCAAGGAGAAGGAACAGACAAGTTGCTCTCCTTTTGTTCTTCAGTCTAGTTGTGGAGGACGTCGCTTCACTGGCTCATGTTGGTATTATCATTGCTCTCTTCCTGGGTGAGGCAGATCGGTCACCGGCCACTGGACGGCTGCTCATGGTGGCTCTTGGCAGCTCACACTGCCTGCCGATCACTCACGGTAGCTTACGGCAGCCCACTGCAGCTCCACTGCAGTCTACGCCATCACCAGCAACTCATGGAAGCCCAGCTCCAGGTCGAGCTGTTGTTCACCATCTTAGCTGTAGAGGGTACAGCATCACTAGCCCTAATGTGGGATCCGAACCAGGGTCCTGCTGCTCAGAGCTGGCATCCCAAGCCAACTCTTAACCAATGCGCCACTCGGCCGGCCCCATATGCAATTTTATGACCCAATTTTATAAGCTCCAACTCAGATCAAATAAATGTTTTTACAAAGTAAATCAAAGTTAAAACTGCCTCAGTATCCAGAGCTTTAAAACTTTTTCATATCATGAAATAATAATTTACTTAACTTTAAGATAAGCCAGTACCATGTATTTGTTCAAAATTCTCACCCTAAGAATTGGCTATAATCTTGAAGGTATTTATGAATAACATCTCATTTTCACCCTACCTTTAACTGCATCTGGTTCTAGACCAGGAATTTTAGCCTTTCTATCTAAATAGCCACCTAGAATATATGTATATACATACATGTATACGTATGATATAGATATAGCTGTGAGGAAAAAAAAACACCTTATTTTTGTAGTTAAAATGTCATTAGAGGATATCTATTTTCTGTGGTTAATTCCTAAGGAATTAGAAATATTACAGAAAAGCTAAGAAAGCTTGCAAAAAGCACATGCCAAAATATAAGCTAGGCTTTTGTGGTTTGTAGATAGATTTTCCAACAAAATTGCTTTTAATCTATATAGTCCAAGCTCACAAACCACACTGTTCATAATTTTTAGAAAATTCTTAGAAAAATGACCTTGCACGAAGTGGAATCTATCTTTCTCAAGTATAATATATTATCAGCCATCTCTAGAGTTAAACCAAACATGATAATTTTATTAGATAAATGTCCAAAATCTACTGCTGGCCCTTTCTTAAATGGGCCTTGAACAAGGAAGGTAAATAGATAGATTTTACAAAATTCACTTTGAGTACACTATCTAGAAATTAGCCAGCTTATCTTGTCATTTGTTGTAAATAGTGCCAGCTGTTTGTTATGTCATCTAAATGATCTCAGTGCCCAAACATAAACCTTTGGCTTAAGAACCCTTTGAATATGGGCTAAATATACTTCTCCCTCAAGGTTCACAGTCAGCTAGAAAAACTTGCAAGAATAAATGGTCCCCTTGACACTTGCAAGATCCAAGGGATTCGATCTTAAACCCATTGTACATGTTTGTTTTCTTATTTGATTTGCATAACAACCCTGGAAGGTGGCAAGGCAGTCAATTTTCAGATGAGGAAGTTCAAATTGAGATGAAGTCGGGTGACTTGTTAGAGGTCACATAGTTGTCGTATATTACTCTAAAGAGTCCGTACAAATCCTGGCTTCGTGACTTGTATGCTTTCTACCCTTCCAGTCACTGAGCCATGCTAAAGTTATGTCTCCTTTGAAAACATTTCATTGATTCCACTGTTGTCTCAAGTGAAAATCTGAATTTAAGCAGAGAAACCAAAGCTGTTTGCCCCATTGAGCCTACTTACCCTCAGCTCAAAAAGGAAAAGTTGGGGTATATATTGAGTGGGTTTTTTAAACTTATTATTATGAAAAATTTCAATGTAGGGAGAAAATAATATGAACCCCCCAACCTGGTTTAATCTATAATCCTACCCACTCCTCACTTCCCTCCTACGGGATTGCTTTCAAGCAAATCTCAGATATATCACTTTATCCGTAAATATTTCAGTTTGTATCTTCTCTGTAAAAATATAACAAAATATCATTATTGGAACTTAAAATAGTAACAGTGATTCCACAATATCATCAAATATGTGGTCAGTGTTCCACATTTTCCTATTGTCTCAAATGTTTTTAATAGGTAGTATGTTCAAATCCACAAGGTCCATGTATTGCATTTGGTTGATATATCTAACTCTTTAAGTTCTTCCTCTCTTTTTTTGTCCCTTGGAATTTATTAATTAAAGAAACCAGATCATTTGTTTATAGTGTTTCCCACATTCTGGATTTTATTCCTATGGTATCATTAACGTGTTCTTCTGTCCCCTGTATTTCTTGTAAACTAGTAGTTGAGGATTGAGCTTATTCAGATTTTGTTTTGTTTTGTTTTGTTTTGATTTGATTTGTTTTGTTTTGCAAGAGTTCTTCACTGATGATGTTGTGTATATCCATCAAGAGACATGTAATGTCTGGTTGTCTCTCTATTTTTGACCTTGATAGCTACTAGTGATGATTGTGTTGCCTAACTCATTACTTAATTAGGGGGTTATAAGGTTTTAAAGGAAATTATTTTAATCTCTTAAACAGATAGAACTTCTATTTTAAAAATGTGTGTGTGTGCGTGTGTGTCTAAAAGTTCTGCTTTGAGCTTTGCTTTGAATTCTTGTATGTCAGACAACAAAGAATATCTAAACTGTCTCTGAGCCTATCTCCTAGTAGGCATGGCCATCCAAATTTGGAAACATAGCCCTCCAGTGATAAAAAGCAGCAAATAAGCTATTGCCCTCCGATTCATGAGTAACACAAACCAAAAGATAAATCCTATTTAAATACCTCTAGAATAACAGTCACATTCTTCATAGGATAACTATTTGCTCAACATTGTTTTTGTTAAATATGACTAAATAAAGATCTATTTTTGTCCCTCCCCTTCCCAACCACCCCAACTAGGATTATTGGCTCTCTCTTCTGTTCAAGAAACTGGTGGGCACCAATGTATTAATGGCAAGTGTGAAAGGTCCAGACAGAAGCAAACTTCGAGTATACCTTCATTGCACAAACATCAATCAGTAAGTAGGCAACATACTCTCTACCAACAAACACGTTTTCATTAGTAAGCACATAACTTCCTACTCTAATGCCCTGTTGTCCTCTATCTACCCAGGGGGTCTAAGCTGTGTCATCGTTCTTAATGTTTTTTCATATTCATAGAGATATGATGCCAAAGTCTAACTTCAAAAGCATAGCTTAAATGTTAGCATTTGCAGCTTAGCAAAGATTTTAGAATGATCTTAATTGTCACAATCCATAGTAGAAATATACTCAGAATTTCAATAAATAAAGAATGGTACAAATGTATTTTTATAGGACCAATTACTTCATTGAATGATATGAGTGAATATAAATATTGGGTTGTTGGAAAAATCATGACGTATTTTTTTCTGTATTTTGTTGCAAAAATGTGTCATGACTTTTCCAGCAACCCGATATATGTATAAATTCATATGAATGAATAATTATATGAATAACTTATCCCCTTATATCATATCTGATACATTTAATAAGAAAGAAGGATTAAAAGAAGGAGAACAACAACAATCTTGTTTTCAAAAGTTTCAACCTAATTTCTGTGGTTGAAAGGCTATAGAGATTTTTATAGTCCAGTATTCTGCCTTTTGTAGCAAATATGTTCCTAAATCTCAGAGATTTTATTTTTCTCCTTATTTTCAGTCCATCTTTCCTGATAGGAGGATACTAAAATACTAGTTATAGCCAAAATAACCACCTACCGTTTCCAGTTTCTGGTGAGTGGGAACTCTATGGATAGTGAGAACCCCACTAGGAATGAGTAAGGGAGTAGTTTGGATGGATAAACTCTGAAAAGTATCAATAGATTTAATTTTCTTGTTTGCCTCACACTTTTCATAAGGCCAGAAAAGCCCCTGTTTATAATTAGAATTCACATGAACCACAACATTCACTTTTTACCAGTTAGCCTTCCTATATTTGAAAATGAATGGACTGACTAGCTTCCTTGCAATTCAGCCTGGTAAAGCAGCAAAGATCTCAGAGTGCTCTCGCCCAGAAAATGGTGGTGTGAAGAGCAATATCTTTAATTATGTTTTCAAATAGGACCACATCAGTGTTCTTATATTATCATAAATGGAAGGTTAAAAAGAGGGCCCATCATCATGATAAATACTAATGTTTAGTATCCATAATTATATTAGTAATCAAGTTTCTAATTGCTTAAATTAAATAAATATTTTTATTGAATTAATCTATTTGCTTTTAGCCCAAGGTATAAAGAAGGAGATTTAACTCTGTATGCATTAAACCTCCATAATGTCACCAAGTACTTGCAGTTACCATATTATTTATTTGACAAACAAGTGGACAGATACGTTGTAAAACCTTCAGGACCTGATGGATTATTTTCCAAGTGAGTAATTTTCCTTGTTCATTTCAAATTTTCATAAACACTAAATTTATTGGTATTTATCAGAACAGAGTTGGTAGGAAGAAAAAGAAACTCAACTATTTCAAGTTCTGACAATTCTTAATATTCAGGAAGTTTATATATGAATACTTATTAACACAGGTATAACTCAATCTGAGATTCCAAAGCAAAAACTAGCAGTTATCTTAGGGACTGCTTTGCATTTCAAAACAACTTGATATATCAAGACCCACTCAATGCATTTAGATTATTTGCTCTAAAAAGATTTATATAATAACTCTTGGTAACACTGTCACTAGAACAAAACATACGTATATATAATTGCTATTAAGGGCATGGGATTGGTGCAAAATATTATACTATGTGAGCTGGGTGCTAAAATACTACAATACTTATAGCATTAAAGTAGCTTTTTAAATTAATTAGAGTAAGAAAAAAATGGCTAGAAATGTACCTTTCAGGTGGGTTATTTGAAGTTGGTTCAAACACATTTTGGTTTTAAAAGCCAGTCACTGAATATGTCTTATAAAAGACCATATTTAACAGAATATCCAAGAATGACTATGAGCCTTGAAGAGTTAGGCGTACAAACATTGTCAGATTTGTCTAATGTGTGTTGGAAGGAGCTCTTTTCATCATGACTGTTCTCACATTGAAGCCTAAAAAATTAAGTTTACAAAATCCTCACCATCTCCTCCCATCTTTGTAAATACTACATGAGTGACATTTTCAATGACAATTAGCATCATAACCTGAAAAAGGACAGTAAAGCATGATTTCTCCAAAGTCCTATCCCCCATAGACAAGCATTGTCAACAGCAGGTACCATTCCTTTATTTCTCCCTATGCTTTATTTTGCTACAACTGTAATCATACAACCTCTAATGGGAAAAAGGAAGGGGGATCCCACAAGTTTTCCCAAGTGTCTTTCCAAATGTAGACTTTGTAGACATTTTTAATGGGTTGCATGTTTTATAAAATACTATGGCTTACTTACCCATTTTCCTACGGTTTAAACCTTTCAGTTGTAAATAATGCGTATTTGGGTTACAGATAGTTTTCTCTATTTGAGTTCTGACCCTTTGTGAAGTGGGTATTTTTAGCATAGTTGTATCTGATGCTGATAAGGGGAAAGCTTTTCTGAAGTAATTGAATAATAGTCGTAGATCATTTTAACAGATCCTTTTAGTCCCACCTTAGGTGGGTATATAAGGTCACTCAGCTCTGTTTGATTCCTCTTCTGTTGGAGCTCGCAGCCTCTTTTTGATGACTGTTCTTTCTGGCAAAGATAAAGTCAGTCTTTCTGTGCCTTTCTTCTGCTGCCCTTAGTTCTGTTCTCCAGGGCAGAGGTTGGAAACTATACCTCATGCCTGTGGACAAGTGGGTTTAGAGGAATTTTTTTTCTTTTTTTCTGGTGGAGGTGGTTGGCATTCACTGTGTTAATTTTTATATTTAATGAGTTATCAACATTCAATTGATAACTACTAAAATATCTGGATGTCTAGTTTTTCTTTAAACATGGATACTCTGGCAACTCTGGGCTTGTTTTCCCAATTAGAAGGAGTTGAATTGGGATTGTTTACTTTAGGCAGGTCATTCACCTTTTTTACTTGCACTTGCATATGTAACTTCCTTGGCTTTGAGTTTGCTACTCTGAATCTGGAACAATGCCAAAAACCTCATTTGCTTCAAAATAACTCTCAAATATTTGAAGGACAATTAGATTGTTTTTCAGCTCTGTTTCATCTGACACTTCACAAGCTTGTCTTTTATTTCTTTGTCATCATGTTCCTGACCTTAAAATATGAAACAAGATACTACCTTCAAATAAAATCCTACCCTCATTGACCAGCCCGATGCAGAAATAAACAGCATACTTTAAGCTTACACTCAGTACACTGATTACACTGATAGGATCCTGTAGCTATATTTATAGCTGATTAAACAATATAGACTAATGTTATTAGTATCTTGCCCATATTTCATTCTTAACTCACAGCAGTATTAATTTACAATAATCAGATTTACTTTTAAACTCTGTAGCTTCTTCAAAAATATTTCTGAAATGTTTTGGTGTACCCCTGTAAATGGTCCTCAGTGTCCTGCAGAACAGCTCTCACTACTGTCACGTAGAGATGGTTCCGAAACCTATTTTTGTTTGTGGTTTCCTGTGATGGTCATGGCATTTCCTCCAGAGCCCATCTAAAAACCTTTGTGATATAGGCATGAAAACAAACCCTGCTGCATGTGGACCAGGTACAGCTGCAATGCGGGCTCTTATCCTCCAGTACAATCATGGGCATCTTAGTGATATGTCTTAAAGTACAGAGCCTAGAGCTGGACCACTAACCAAAGTTAAATGGAACCCAGTTATTTTTCTGACTGATACTTAGTGAGGATAGAGTGTGAGAGATCTTTAAAAATGAAAACTTTATAATAATGCTAAATTGGAAACAACCAAATGTCTAACATGAGACGACTAAGTAAATAATAAGCTTACACAATAGACTCCTGTGCAGCCTGTAAAATGATGTGGTGGATGAATTATTTTTTTCTTTTTAAAATTTTTTTTATTTATTACATTTATTGGGGTGACAATGGTTAGTAAAATTACATAGGTTTCAAGTGTACATTTCTATAATACATCATCTATATATTGCATTGTTTTTTAGTTTCAGGTGTGCAAAGCAATGTAATAGTTAGACATTTACACCCCTCACAAAGTGATAACCTCCCCCCCCAATCTACTACCTCTCTGACATTGTATGTAGCTGTTACAACCACTGACTCTATTCCTTATGCCGTACTCTGGTGGATGAATTTTTAATGCTGTGAGAAAATGTTAGGATGTGTCAAGGGAAAAAGAAACTAATTGTATGAGACTATGTACAGTATACTCATTTTGTTTAACTGAAAATATGTATGTATTATACATGCATAGGAAAGAGATGAAGGAATATACATCAAATATTAAAACTAGTTATGATTTAACAGTTTGCTTTGGTTAAATTTATTTCTGAATAAAAATGATAAATAATACTTTTATAGTGCTTACTATATGCAACACATTGTTTTAAGTATGTTCTACATATATTACATGTATTACATATATGACATACATATAACTCTGACATTAACTAATCTTCTAAATTTTCAACAATAAAAAAGTGCTTTTTTCCACTGGTATAAAAAGCATTTGAGAAAAAGATAATAGAGATATAAGTATCATTTAGAATTATAGTAGTAACTATCAATAGAACTACAAGCCAACTAAAGCATTCTTCCTTATATAGATAATATAAGCTCTTGCCTATATTGGATTTATTGCTGTGAGCATGTATTCATTTGATTTGAATAATAACATAGATGTATAAGAAATAATACTTGTGCTTAACCATTTTTTTACTCAATCTTGAATTTGAATTCCAACAGTGAAATGCAAAGAAAACATAAATATTTTGGAATCTGTGACTTAGCTAAACAAAATCATTTTTGTTTCACCACTGCAATATACATCCTACCAAAATATCTTAACAGTGTAAGAAAATGAATGCATACCTCCTAAGGAAGGGGAGTTAAAGGGTTATGGGCATAGTTACAAGTGGGAAGTTCCATTGACTGTCTTTTTTTATATTAAATTTATGAAATTTACATTCCATTCTATATATGTATTTGCTTTATATAAAAATGTTTTCAATTATTTGCCATCAAATAAAATTGCCACAAATCCAGATGTTATGTCATATTTATCCTTTTTATACTTCCATCATGTTGCCTCATATAGATTATGTTGTGTTCCATTTTCTGTAAAGGACCAGATAGCAAATATTTCAGGCTTTGCAGGCCATATGGCCTCTGTCACAACTGCTCAACTCTACCAGTGTGGCTTCAAGGTCATCTAGGTCAAATACCTAACTGATATAGCACTGAAATACAAGTTATGTAATATAGGCTGCCACAAAAGAAATTTTTGGTCTTAAAAAGATCTCACGACTTTTATAGAGCAGGTGGAGCACGCACAACTTGGCTAACTTGGATGTGTCTTTTCCCTTTGCAGATCTGTCCAACTCAATGGTCAAACTCTGAAGATGGTGGATGATCAAACCCTGCCAGCTTTGACAGAAACCCCTCTCCACCCAGGAAGCTCCCTGGGCTTGCCAGCTTTCTCATATGGATTTTTTGTGATAAGACATGCCAAAGCTGCTGCTTGCATCTGAAAATGAAAGGCATACACTAGCCCCGAGATTGAATTTTTCAAGTGTATTGATAAGAGGAAAGCAAAACTCAAGCTACATGAAGGCAAGCGGATACATTACAAATCAACTATAGGGAGTTTGGACACTCAGGGCTACACTTAGCACAGTATTTTGTTCCCTCTAACTAGACCACTGCTAATAAGAATACCTTGTGCCAACCACTGCTTGTACTTTGCATGTATATTTTTATTTAAGTTAGTAAAAATGTATATGAATGTTCCCAGTATAGCCAGGATGCAAGTAAGTGAAGGATATAGTACTAGTTTTAAGAAACTGCTTAGCTGTTTTTAGTTTTAAAAAACAGTTATTAACAGATTATCAGATTCTTTCCTCCATATGCTGTCTCTATGGGCTCCCATCAGAAAGTTTACTACTGGAGCCTTCAAATTGTTTATAAAAGAGAGACAATCTCTTTGCACCTTAACAGAGAGCTAGATTCAGCTGCTGCTTCTCTTCTCTCTATTCTGTTTGTCAACAATACTATGTCAGAGGACAGATGGTTAGATGTGATAGTATTAAAAAAAAAGATTAATGACAATTCACAGGGAAGGAATTATGGAAACTTTGAATGAAACATAAAATGACTATAACTGAAATTGACTTACCAAAAGGAAAAAAATTTAATTCAATACATTATCACCAGTTAATGTTTACTTTTGTTCTACATTTAGTTCTTATTTTATTTCGGGAAGCCTTTGGCTGCAAATAACAGAAAACCTTGATTCCAATGGCTTAAACAATAAGGATATTTATAATACCAAGTAACGGGAAGTTCAAACAGGGTGGGCTCCACAGCTCGATATATCACAAAAGAGCCAGGTTCTTTCTCTGCTCTACTATCTTTAGTGTTGGCTTCATTCTCAAGCTGGTGACATGATGGCTGTAGCTATTCCATGTACACGTTCAGACCTGGCAGCACTCAGAGAAAAAAGGTGAACAATTTTTATGTATCTCCATCATAGACTTGAAGAACCCTTTCGCAGAAGCTCTCCAGTAAACCTCTCCTTGCGTCTCCTCATGTCTTATTGGTTAGAAATAGGTCACATGGCCATTCTCCCTGTCACTGCCAATGTCATTGAGATTTCTATCATTGTCTGCCAATTATCTTTTGGAATGGAGAGAGTGTTAGGAAGTCTATGGCACTGACTTCTACAGTTGTGTGCTTTTATCAGTGACAGGATATATTATTTTCTCCTGTATTTTAATTTTTAGAAATATAATCTTCTTTATATTTATGCCTACTATGAATATTGTCTCAATTAAACTTAATTAATTTGTAAGATTCTAAAGCTGGAACTTAAAGTTTGGATGTTTGAATACCTTTAAATTTTATATGTAAGTGGTTTTTATATTTTCTCATTTGAAATAAAAGCAATTTTTATAACTTCAATACTGCTTGATTATTTTTTCAATAAAGCTTAAGCCTACAGATCCTTACATCTGGAAAGCTTTTCTTCACTGCATTGTTTATACCTCCTAGCTTTATTTGTCCTTTCAATCTCCCTACACCAAAAGCATTTACCTTGAAGAAGAGAGATCATCAGACACAAACACAATTTCCATCCTCATCATGCAGATTCAATCATGATCAAAGTCCTGTTCTGTCTATTTTTCTTTTCCCTGTTCCCTTTGCTACTTAGTAAGTTTAAGGCCTAATTTTGCACTTGTATATTAATCATCATCATTATCTCCTAATTGTTCTGCCTGAATTTGCTTAAAACTCTTAAATGGCTTCCCATTTCTTAGAGGCACACGAGAACCTGGCACTTGCCTATTTCTTCAGGCTCAATTCTTGTCATTCTCCCCATAAATTCTGTTCTCCACCCCATAAACTGGTTGAGAAGCCTTAACATACAGCCTCTTTTACACTTTGCTCCTGTACGTTTGGTGCTGCTCCTTCTGCTCTCCACCTGTACTATTCTAACTCTCCTCTCTATGTAGCAAACACACATTTATTAAGATCCAGCTTAAACACTAGTTTCAATACCTCCCTATTATTCAAGTACCCCTAGTCATATTTCTTTGCTCCTATAGCAGTTTGGACATTTACTATGACACGTATAATGCATCTTAATTGTATCCATATATATCTTCTTCTTTTCTTTACAGGTAAGGTCTTTATTGGTCAGACACCGTCACCTGGCTAAGCAGCAGTGCTGGAGGTACAGACTGTTGTACAAAGCTCAATTAACTTTGCAAACTCATCCTAGAAAAAGTGCTACATACCTCATTGCTGAATATCACTATGGTCACCTTTGAAGTACTGCCCTTGGGAAGCTATACACCGATGCCAGAGCCTAGTCCACCCTTCAAAGCAATTTTGGAATTCTTTTTCTGGAATGGCCATCAGAGCTGTTGTGTTACCCTTGATGTCCTGAATGTCATCAAAATGTTTCCCTTTCAATATTTCCTTTATCTTTGGGTAAAGAAAGAAGTCACAGGGGGTCAGATCAGGTGAGTAGGGAGGGTGTTCAAATACAGTTATTTGTTTACTAGCTAAAAACTCTCTCATAGACAGTGCCATGTGAGTTGGTGCATTGTCGTGATACAAGAGCCATGAATTGTTGGTGAAAAGTTCAGGTTGTCTAACTTTTTCACGCAGCCTTTTCAGCACTTCCAAATAGTAAACTTGGTTGTTTGTCCAGTTGGTACAAATTCATAATGAATAATCCCTCTGATATCCACAAAGGTTAGCAACATCATTGCAAGAAGTCTGCGAACTTAATTGTCAGACCTGGTATGTTGGGGAACATTTTTACAAAATCTATATATAACGTTATATATAAACTAAGGACATCTTGTTCCTTCAGAGGAGTCAGCCATCTCTAACAGACTGTAATGTACCATTGCCACTTAACACAGCATTTAGATATATGCATATATGGATAGATTATATAATTATTACAAATAAACTGTACTTTCACATCTGTCAAAAATGGATCCTGGGCCGGCCGAGTGGCGCGATGGTTAAGAACTGGCTTGGGATGCCAGAGGGCCCCGGTTCGGATCCCACATATAAGGGCCAGTGACACTGCCCTCCGCAGCTAAGATGCTGAACAACAGCTCAACGTGGAGCTGGGTTGCCGTGAGTCACCAGCGACGGCTAGGCTGCAGCCCCTGTGGCAGTGGGTTGCCATGGGCTACCGTATGTAGCCAGCAGCCAGCGTGAGCGGCCAGCAGCTGCAGTGAGCGGCCGTCCAGAAGCCGTCCAGAAGCCGGCGACTGATCTGCCTCGCCCAAGAAGAGCGCAATGATGGTGCCAACTTGGGCCAGTGAAGCAACGTCCTCCACAACTAGACTGAAGAACCAAACAACAGCAGCTTGTCTGTTCCCCTTCCCCCAATTCCCCAGCACTGTTCTCATCCCCCAATTCCCCAATAAAAAAAAAAAATTTTAAAAAAAAAATATATATATAGTTAAATTATTTACAGTCTCTGACTTTAAAGCATTTACAGTCAAAATGAGAAAAAACATACAAATTAGTATAATACAAAGGAAAATTATTTAAATTCCATAGAAGAGATAAAACACAATTCTATTAATGTTTCAGGAGAGAAAAACATCTTATATAGCTGTAGGACTATGTCTACAATTCCAAATGCCACAGTAGTCCTAAAGAGAAGATGCTGGTCTCTCACCTATGTTTCGGTGGAGGAGAGTGTGGTCAAACAAAATAACAAACTCGGAAACTCAGCTTTCACCTTCATCTCCCACCCGCAATTTAGCTTCAATGTTCTTTTTCCTACCAAACAAACACATTCACACACAGGGACACACAAATGCTCTGATGACAAGTCTAATGATTACTCTCGAGTAATGAGCTCATCAAGAAAGCTACAAAGTGGCCTAGCTCCAGATAAGGGCGCTCCCATTGATGGCAGAATTGCAGGACCAAGTCTCAGACTAGCACTTTTGCATCAAGCTGCAGGGGGCGATCTGGCCACCCTGGAAGTTCCAGTTTTCTCTGTATCGCCCCTGAGTTCTTTTCATCAGAAACAAGACAACATATGGCATTCTTACTCCAAATTTAAATCTAAAAATTATGTAGAGGAAGGAATCTTGCTCTCAAAGGTAAAATCTTTCCCCCCAATCTATAGAAAACACATTTGAGAGGCTTCCAAGTAGTATAACTAAGAATCACATCTCATGGCTATTTCCCACTGTAGGGACAATCTAAGTGCTTGATATGCCTACAGAAACCCATCTTTCCAAAGACCAATGCAATGTCTTTGTTGAGGTGGAGTTTGAGATGTCTTTGCTGAGTTTGAGAATCCAGATGAAAAAGGCATATAACTGTTAAAAGATAAACTGAGGCATATTAAATATTTTAAGAGTTTATTTAAGCATGTATCCATTTGAATGGGGCAGTGCCAAACTGGAAGTGGCTAGGAGCACTCTGCTCACAGGAGGGAAGAGGGGAAGACTTATATAAAGTGTGGAAGCAAGGAAAGGAAACTAATTTGATTTGCTATAGCTTAAAACCTAGTTGGCTCTTTGTGATCGGTTGTCCTTAGTGTTTTGATTTCATAACTTTGAGGCATTTACAGGTTTAGGTTTTAGTTTGCTTATGTAGGCTGCTATGACATTACAGCCACCTCAGTCTAATAGCTTCTTTGTTTAATTAATTAATTAAACAAAACACATAGATAAGGATGGCTGAATGGTCAGGTGTCCCCTCCAGCAATCTGGCCCTTGGCCTAAATATCTTTCCTGTACCCCAACCACGGGAGGCACTCTATGAAGACCAAGATCAAGAGTACCGTTATCCCAGGGCCAATACAGCCTCAGAAGCACTCCACTGACCTCCCATAAAATAGGGTTGCAAGAACTCCTGTCCCTCTGCAGCAGATTCTATCCAGCAAAATACTAACTTTTGGGGCTGGCCGAGGGCTCAATTGGTTAAGAGCTCACTCAAGCGTGTGAGCTCTGAGCAACAGCTGTTGGTGTCCCAACCCAAGCTGAGCTGCCGCTGAGCTGCCAACAGGTGGCAGGATGACTCAGCTACACACACACACACACACACACACACACAAAAAATACTGTAACTTTTATAACTGGGGAAGGATAGGTAGTAGAAGTCCACGCCATGGCTGAGTCAGCAAGAGCTTCCATGATAGAACTTTCTTCATCCCCAGAGGCCGGCTTACAAGTCATTAATGAAAATGTTTATCTGACATCAATCTATTTATATTGGTTAAAGAATGGCAGTTTCTGGGTTCACTAGGTTTTTGTTTTGTTTTGTTTTTTGGTACAACTGTTCCGGACTTGTAAACACTATCCTTACTCATTTATTGAGAAAGCTGATAACAGGAATTCCTTTTATGCAAAGTACCTGGGGGGACCCTCTTACAGGGTAAAGTGACCATGATAATCACTATTTCAAGTCGCTCGAAAAACTCGGGCCACAACGCGGGCCGCGCCGGACACGTAGGGACAGTCACCTCGCTGACGTCACTGTACACGCTACCCTGGACCTGACGCCCTGGAATGACGTCTGGCCCCACGGGGCCACGCCTCCCGAGCGCCATGCTGAACATGGGCGGCGTGGGGCTCGCGCGGGGCCTGCGGGTCGTGACGCAGGCGTGCCTGCGGGCCACGCGCGGCGGCTCCCCGGCCCTCGCGCGCGCGACTGGCTCGCCCCGCCCGGGGGACCGGCGGCTCTTGGCGGGACCCGGGCCACGTTGGCGTCGGCTCAGCCTGTCGGCCGCGGTGATCGTGAACTCGGCGCCCCGCCCTCTGCAGCCCTACCTGCGCCTCATGCGGTTGGACAAGCCCATTGGTGAGTGCGGAGGGGGGGGGCCGGGGAGCGAGCGCGGGAGGTCCAGAGGGCTGCAAGCGTCCGGGAAATGGAGCTCAAAAGCCTGAGCTTAGCTGCTGCCGGCCGTTTTTGCTCTTGAGACACCCGGACTGGGCGATCTCCGCGATCTCCGAAGTCACCTGCTTGCCTTCTCGTCCCTCGGAATCCCGAGCACCTGAGCCAGGCAAAATATGCTCTCCACAATCCTTGTGTAAGTGGTGAATCCAGCAGGAATTCCGTTCTCGTGTCCCTGCATTTGCACAGATTTACGGTATTGAAGCACTTCCACGTTGATTACGTTTGGTCCTTCTCATACATAATGCTGTAAGGCTCCCAAAGCGAAAGACACAAAGACGCTGAGGGAACTAAGGGTCTTGGCAGAGCCAGGCCAGATGAACCTAGTGTTTTGATGCTGAATTCTAGCTCTTTGCCCAGCACCACTCGTACCACAGAGAAAGGTTTAACTCATTTGCATGTAGCAGGTACAGCACTTATAAACTGCCTATCAGCTCATAATCGCCTCCTGTGGATTTCCCTGACCTTCCTATTTACTTTTTAAAAAGATTTTTATTAAAAATATAGATAACAGACAA